CTGGTCTTCGGATAAGTACGTGAAATGGACGCTTGCAAGCGTAAAGCCACAAGAGTACCTCGGTTGCTTTTAAACCCATGCCTAACCACGTCTTCCCGGTTGGCTTATATTCCAGCAGGTCTGTTTTTGTAATGTACTGCTCATGAAGTTGCTGAAAATCCGTCGACAGACTACGGCCGGTTTCGCCCTTTTTTGGTCTGTTTTTATTTTACATAAGGATCAGGTTTCACCCACTCTTTTCGGTGGGATGAGAGGCAGTCGGCAATGTACACGCTCATGTTTGAGCTCTAGAAGCCAAGCGGGGTAAATAGCATTCTTGCTGTTTTTCACCGAATATTTTGTAGCGAGAACATCCAGATATTAAGCTGAAAAGCTCATAAGCCTTTCTTTCCACTTTACATGTCCAAATCATATTCTGGTCCGAAATTCGCCCTATCCGAAATCTCAGAGAGATTACTAGACAGAATGGTTTTCCTTCTTAGAGTGTTCTTTCGTTAAAGAAAATACACAGGCTTCTAAAGTCTAGGATAAAACCCAGACTTCTAAATCGGTGTGGAACGGTTTGAATTTGCTGTCTTGTGGAATGAGTTCATTTTGTACAGTCTCGTCTGTCCCACTACTTGCAAAATGGGATAAACCGAAACAAAATACCGAGCTATTTGCAGTGTTTGTATAGAACCAAACTGCAACATGAATAGTCAGTAAAACCAGAGTGAATACCAGGTCTTTCTGAGCACTCAGTAAAAGCCTGAATCAGTTGATCAACGCAGTCTAAAGGAACTTTGATCTGTGTAGACAGCTGGTTCCAAGATAAAATCAGGATCAATCAATAATTTGGCTCTTGACTTGCAAAAGCTCCGTGTATATCCTTTGTGGAGAGTAGGCTCCACACACATGACGATTTCTAAACTGGATTGCCGTTACCAGAGGCAAAGTATGTGAAATGTGAACAAAGCATCATCGCCAACGTTTATTTGAGGGACGATTTGTAGCACCAAATGTTTTTATTACAAAAACAAGATGTAGTTTCACCACGCTGTCAAGCTAACACGCGCTTTTTAGAAACAGTACCATCTTTTCCGATGGCAAACTTTGAAGTGGAACTCAAGAGAGCAACATTCCACAATATTTCCAGGCTACTTCGTCGTTTCATCAAGTGCATGATACTGACTCCAAGCGATTTGTCTGAACTCTACTAAGGGTGCGGAATCATAGCTTTTTAAACTGTGTCTGAGAGCTTCAAAGAACACAGCAGTCACAATCATAGGATGTGGCAGCCAAAATGTCCGGGGATATCAGCTCTCACGCAAGCTGAACCCTTGGCGAGGATCTAGGTAAGTCGAATCGGCTCCAAACGCTCTCCAAGTGGCCAATGTGTCTACACCACAGCCAAACCCAGACTCCTGTTCGTATCCAGTGGCTTGACTGTTTACTCCAAGGTGACTCAGCTATCTCCAACGTTTCGCGACACACGAGAAACTGACAAAGAAATGCAACGGATAGAAAGGTCATCATTGTGCCACTGATAGTAGTCACCAGCATGCCTGATTAGGTTTTCCAAAAAAACTTGCGGCATAGCAACAGTGAATAAGTGCTCCCAACGCATGTAACTTGAAAATCTCCGGACCTAAAGAGTGATTTGGAAAACCAACGCGTCCACCTTCAAATTTGAGAGAAATGGAAATCCATTTCCATCTTCGGTTTTTCAGACTTCGGCAATCCCGACGAACAAATCAGCTCTCAGAATGATTGGATCAAACAGAATTCTGTCCGCAGTTTGTTTCATCTCGTAGATGCACAACCGACGCCCCACAAAAGTCACTAACCATGAAGGCAGCAGACAACGAATCTTGAAATTAAACTCGATGTCAACCTATCTAAGTACAACAATGCTTGAAGCGCAGTGTTACCGTAAAAACTGCCTTTGTGCAGCGACAGCCAGTAGGATGCATCTGGTGAAAAATTTTCCACACACCCTACTCGAGGGCATCCTGAGTACGCTAAAGCTGTACACCGGTGGATCCACAACCTCATCCCTATCCAAATAATCGTCAGTTGTCAGTTTGTTCAGTTATAGCCGGTCATGGGATCGATAGGTTTTCCAGGACACCACATCATAATAACTTATCTTGGTATTGTTTATAAAGGGTGTCAGGTGAGCTATGAAACAACCTGTCTGTGCCTCAGAAGTATTCGCACTTGTCTTACTGCTACCTAATCAGGGAATGAATTTGTGTTCACGTAGGGCTCACTGCTGTACACAAGATGCAACCCAAGACCCAGGGTTTATTCGCATTTGTTCTCGCTTCTAGTATAACTCCAGCTGTTTTTGTGCGTGGACAATCGAGTCAGTGTGTCCTGTTTTTCAGCATAACCACCCTTGCAGCAGGAAACTTTGAATAAAATTGCGGAATCTCACTGTACTACTAGCAAATTTGTGTGATCTTTTCTGGCCACCTTTGTGCTTGCATGAGATAGCTGAACACCCACAATGGTGCAGGGAGATAGGTCATTTACCTTCACTTATGGAAGGTTCCCAGCGAAGCGCAGTGCAGCACTGGCTCTCTCCTTAATTGGAATGATTGTTACCCAAAGCATTGTATTGTGGTTGCTTGCTTTAGCAAGTTCAGGTTAGAAACCAGGACAACTCTTTGCGGAGTGTTTCAGAGCCCTTGTACTGGGTCCTCACACAGTCTGGCATTCACCAATGACCTCCTTATTTCCCGCAAGTCTTGATAAAGCAGACTTGTGACAATTTGTGCAGGAGCACTCGGTAATATAACCGATCGATTCATTCATGGGGGTTGACCTTACGCTGGACAGTCTTGTTGTAGAGAATCATGCGTACCTTTGCATATTCGGATAGATGTCACAGTCTATCTCAGGAAGGCGTTAGTTGGGTGCATCAGGTCTTTTGTATAGGATTTGTTTTTCTAGACTTATTACTTCAAGCTATTTGAAAAAAGCAGATTGGTGCATTCTAGGCACTACTCTGTCGAATTCAACTCAGCTTACCGAAACGCCTAATCGATGAGGAACCTTTTCTGAATGATGATAGAATTGATTACCTCTGCCCTTCTCAGGCAAACCTCCCATGGATGAGCGGATTTTCTTTGGTATTAAAATAAGCTCCCTTAAACGGAGCATCTCTTGGTGAAGCCGAAGACTGTTTAGTCCAGGAAATCCCACTGATAAGTATGTCGAGGTCTTCCTGTCATATTCAACGGACCTGAAAAATCACAAAACCGTACCCAGTGCTACCAGAAAATAACAGTTGAAATAATGGATGAAAACAAGGTGACATGTAGACCAATACTGATTAGTTCTTCCAAATATTCATACCCTCACCTCCAACGACTACTTATGTCTGTTCAGAAACGTGGAAAACTGTGCAATAAGCAGTCATTTGTTCAGCTTTGTTCCCTGAAATCAATCATTTCATGCTGAACACCCTTTAAAAGCGGCATTCAGTAATCCATGGCATCACCGCCACTTCTACAGTGGATTTGCTGGCGATCGCAGGCGTAATGCAGGCGTTCTGCATAGCTTGTCACTGCAATTTAGAAAACTCGAATTGACACAAATCTTTCTGGTGTGAGTATTCATGCTTGCATGGGCCAGCTGACAAAAAAACGCAAACCACAAAAGATGCCACTTGTAGCGAATACTTCCGTATCAGAACTGACATAAACTAATATGAAACACAAAAGCACACCGCAATTACCTTGGGCATGATTGCGTCACTGCCTAACATTTAAATCGGCTTTGTGGTTATTTTGTTAAGACTGTTTTTGAGTGAGCCTTCCAAACTTGTGCCACTTCTACGCCAATGTCGGCTAAGTGCGTTTGAGTGAGGCGTTTGAGGGATTGTCACATAACCGTAACTCTAAGGTAGACTTCATCAAAGTGACCAACTAAAATTGCGTTCGTCCGGAATGGCGAAATCATGCGTAGTTATTCTGCGCAGATTCAGGCTTTTTTCCAGGAATTACTGGACCGGGTTGGTTAGATCTCGCTTGCCAAGTAAGAGGATTTTTATGTGCATCAAAACTTTGTTGTTTTTTGAGGATCAAGACAAGTTGACATCCACACACACGACCGTTTGAACTGTTGCTTGTGTGCAATTACCTAATTTAACTCGCTGTAGGACTGAACTGAGTCAACGAAACGACAATTGAAACGACAATCCTAATGGTCAATGACCCTCGTGTGTGAACAAACAAGATAGAACATGAGCGATTGGTTCACATGGATAACAAGTGGTAAAATACATGTAGCTTGCCACAAATGCCTTTCTGTGGCTGTTTTCAGTCCTACGAGAAGTGATATCTTCCCAGCAGGACGAGTTTGAGAAAGCCGAACCAGGCTGGCTGGATTGCGTACTAAAAAGTGAAGTTCTCAACTCTATAAACAGCTGCGCGTCTGATTTCTCTTGAAAACAGAGTAGTCCTACGGAGTAGTCTCATTTCAATAGAAAAAACCGAGGGTTATTGAGCTAAAAATGTTTGTCTCGTGCGACAAAGGGGATTCTACTCACACTTTGAACCATAATTCACTTAGATTTTACTTCATTATTACACCAATGTTTCGTCAATCGTTTAAAACATTTATTCAACTTTAGAGACAGGAAAGCCAATGAAACTCTCCAAAAACATTTGGAACTGAGGTTGATGAAAATTTTAGTGTGATTCATCATCATCATTTTCAGCCGTAATAACCGCGTACTCGTCGCACAGTAGTTGTAGCTGTCGCATTTTCGTTCACCGATGATTGGGGGAGGGGGTAGGTAGCTGCGCATTGCAGGCGGGAGATGATAAATTAGTGGATAAATCCAGCACAGTTAGTGGACTGTCAAGTGGGGGAATTGGGAAGGGAGCTATGCATTGAAGGTAATAGCTTGGGTGCACAAGCGCCATTGAGGGCGCGACTGGGCCATGTCTGACCATGTCTCTAGACATTGATGTGGCCCGTCTCGGGGTCCTCATCCAGGAAGACGGCAGTGACCAGCGCAGCTGAGTTTGCTGGTAATGGCTTTCATACTTCGCTGCCAAGCCATTGTTTGACCGCCTCTGGCTCTCTTCCACCCTTCACGTGGTTGTGCGAAAAGAGCCCTTCGAGGAAGTCGGTCGACTGTTATACGCAGCAAGTGGCCAAGTTAGCGCAACCTATGCAGTGTGATCAGTTCATCTATCGAGGGTGAGTTATTTCTCCCGAATACCATTCGACGTACTTCAGAATTGCTGATCCGGTGTTCCCACCAGATTCGGGTAATGCTCCGAAGACATCGATGGTCAAACAGTGAAAGTCTTTTGACGTCCTCAGCGCGCAGCGGCCAGGTTTCTGATCCATATAGTAATATGGAGCGCACCGCAGCATTGAAAACTCGACCCTTGACAGACAAGCTGATGTCACGCCTACGCCCAGGGAGCACTTCGGCCCCACAGACATTAGAGGCAGGTAGTGAATCTTCCATGATTGGATCCATGACGAAGTTGAAGAGCAGCGTTATTAATCATGGACTGAAGTGGGGAAGCATGCCGATTCGGTAAAAAGTTTGACTTGGTGGGCGATCCAAGAAGTAATCGTTCATTCGGGCCCCAACAGAGAGAAAAACATGAGATGAAATACTTTAAGTTTCTCTTGATGTTTTTCGCTGATATGATGCGCAATAAACGCGTAAACAGCTATCGCTTCCTCAAATTTTGAACTGTTTGCAAACTGTAGCTGCTGCCTGCGAAATCCACTCACAACTTTTGTTTAAAAATCCCATAAATACCTACTATGACACCACTGAACAACTTATAACAGCGACGTTTTTCTTAAAAGATTTCTAATTCATACTGAGAGAGCAAACTCCGGATGACATAGAAGGAGAGGATTGAAGGTGAGAATTGTGCACCACGGGAGCTTACGCGCATTGATTCACTTTTCTAGACAGTTTTTTGGGCTTGTTTCGAACTATATGGTTGTACATGATATCTTCAAGGTACAAAACGTTTTCGATGTTCCATAGATTTTTTTTCCACAGGCCAGTGGTGCGAATTGAGAAATAAACTTTTATATTATAGGTTTGTGGAATATTTGGGTAAAGAACGTTAAGGCGACAAAGCGTGCAGCCCGATATTGTCTTCGGGATGACAAGGCAACTGCTGTCCGGTGATGCTCACGCAGTTATTTAGTGAAGAGATTTAGCGATTTAAATTGACGAACCCGTTTCTTGTGGTAATGTCCCTTGTTTTTTGTTTATCTGTTGGAACGAACCTAGCTAGCTACTTTGTTTCAGACGCACACCAATCCTACCTTGCAAGACCATGATGTCTGAAAGACATCAATCCTTCCGGTCTGTGGACAGCCACAACGACTGCTAACCGCAGGACGACTACATCGTTTCACGTCAAACCTGCATTGAAAAAATCTGGAAGTTTGGATCCTACAAAGTGCCTTTCCTGCTACAAATGGCCAGTATTATTGTATGGGGTTCTATTAAACCCGAAAAATCTGCTGATATTTCGACAAGCAATTAGCTCATTTGACTGCCATGGGTATCCAATTCGATTTTCGTCTGATGAATCAGGTCTTGAAGTGGGTTCGAGGTACTAAGACGCTGCTCTAATCCAGACTACCAGTGCGAACTCCCCAAAATCGCTTATCAGAATTATCTGGTTGTGGAGATATCTTTGATGATAAAATTGAATATTTACATCAATATGAGTATGATCAAACACCAATTTAAGAGCATCCACGGCCGATAGATAGTTAGGTTCGGAAACTCCTTGTATGTTGAACCCCTCTTTCAAGACCGTCCGTCAACGCGAGAATAGCTATCAAAGGTTGTCTGTCTGCGTTACTTTCACGAATACACGCCTGATAAAGCTCCACAAAGTTTGTAAACTGAATGTCTCTCAGTGACAGTGCGTCGCCTACGTCTTTACATGAATCACCCTCATTCGGATGGCCAAACAGGTTCAAGTTGTAAACTGAATGTCTCTCAGTGACAGTGCGTCGCCTACGTCTTTACATGAATCACCCTCATTCGGATGGCCAAAACAGGTTCAAGTTAAGCACTGTGTATATTTGTGTGCGTGCGTCCAGTCAGCTTCACTCAGGAGGGAACCTCTGATACCAATGATGAAAGAAACGTGTGGCACTCACTTAATACTCACTTAATAACAATTGCAGTAACCGTTTTCAGAAATAACTGGCAAGGGGGAGAGAAGGCCTCCTGAAATCCCAATACCTCTCGCCCTATGAATTTGCAAGTTTTTAACACTCATTCGTGGCCTGTATCCGGTAACCTTGGTATCCAGAACATAGTTATTAGTTTGACGTTGTGTTTATTGTTCTTTTATGTGAAGTACGTTGAAATTGTTCTGCCAAAACTTCTTACGAATTCACACAACCTCTGTCTCTGATTGAGCAAAGTGAGCAATGGTTACATAAAGCAAGGGAATGGGAAATCTTATTTTTCCTATTTCTGGTTCATTGTGACAAATTTTCAAAGATCGTCTCTATTTTATCGTAAACAAGGCACAATCATGTGAACAGTGACATTTCACGTGATCAAGTATTGACTGATTCCACGAGTGACTACTTGTCACAAGGTAGTTTCACACCTAAAGTGAAAGTATCCTTCCTCTGAGCTGCTTATCGGTTCATGGCTCATCAGTTTCACTTGACTTGTTAGTTCAAATACTGCGTAGGGTTTTTTTTATTTCCACCGCGGGTAGTGAGTGGCAAGTGGGTCTTGGTTGGATTCAGTTTTCCCAAGGGTGTCCACCTCGACGAGTTATGTTGCACACGACTAAGGTCAGGGTCCATTACAGCATTATGTTAGTGGTCGGCAGATCGACCTGTGTGTCCCATGATCCATGAGTGACGCTCAATGCGTCTTCTAACGAATAAAAAGATATAAGCTTGAAATGTGAAAGTAGAAACAGCTGCGAAACTGGAAACGGCCGAGTTTAAGATGGTTCAGCGGTTTGCGCTTCTATCCCAGGGGTACTGGTCACAACATACCCCATGACTCAGTCCCAGGCGCAACCAACGTGACCTGCTCGTCTTTCGTCACGTTACCTAGCATTTACGTATAGAAAGGATTCAGTATTTAAAATATTTAATTAAATTTTCACCTAATTAAGTCAACCAGTTGGCATCCGAACCAAATAAATCAACTTACTTCAAACGCATTCCCGATTAAATGCTAACCTCCTTTTCAGAGGAACTTTTATGCGCCCAGTTTCATTGCATATCGATTTATCGATCAGTTCCTTGCCAAGCTAAATATGATTTCTGTGATATAATTAGGGTAGTCGCGGGCCAGAATCATAAGTATATCTCCATTTACTCGCGCCCGTTTTTCGCCCAGTTGTAACTCGTTTCAGCCTTAGCAAGACACAAGATTACTTTGCGTTTTCGACGTTAACTTTTTTATGACCTGAAGGTTTTCTTAAATCTTACCAGTCTTTACTGTCTGGACTAAAGATTTGCGCTAACAATGAAATGACCAGATGACTACAGCCATACTTTGTTGTCGAAAACCGTGGAAGAACATCTGTTTACTATTAGCATCGACAGTTGTATATAGGAAAGTTGCTTGCGAGGAAAAAACCCTGCCTGTGCTTTGCACACACTACAAATGAACAACGAACAACAAGTCCTTACTACTTAAGGTACGGTACAAAAAAGGCACGAGTTCAAAAACCATACACCCACCATAGTCTGAAACATATGTTGCCATCCTATTTTTTCCCAATTGCGTCATGAAGCAGCTACAAATAGACAATCGAGTTTCGCACTGACGCTTGTTTTGACAAACAGAACAAACGTGGGTACACCATTTTGGATCCCCTGCATGTGCTCGTTTTGTTGTCCTACTGAGCCACCCCCCTATTTATTCTGTATCATAAATACTATCAGGTCTTTTCGATTGTGTATGGACGCATCTTTTTTTGCGGTCACGTTAGCTGAACTAGCATTGAAAGAATTCCTGAATGGTCTTTTCACCGGTTTTCCATTCTGCCGTGACAGCTAACGAGAACTTTTTTAACCAATAAATATGGGAAGCAATGTGATGAGTAAACTAACCAGGCAGCAATGAGAGATCATTTCTTGCTTCATATCAGGTGATTTGTCACAATAGAATGACCTAACTTAGCGAAATACACTCATTTGCAAACTGATTTGGTTTTGCGAGAGACTCACCTGGAACCCAGCTGAATCTCTCATTTGTGATGTTTCCAGCTGGGTCCCAGGTCGGTCTCTCGCAAAACCAAATTAGTTTGCAAATGATTGTAGTTCGCTAATTTCGTGCAATTTGGTTTCAAGTAGAACATGAGGTTGACGGAAACTCGGGGACTGCGTCTACCTGATGAGCTCCAAGAAGGGCGAAACCGGTCATGGGTTGTCGACGAATTTTCAGCAACCGTGTGACTAGTGCATTACGAATATCAAATGACCTAAGTTGTTTAAACGCTCTAAAATAGACTGCCTTGAATGTTTGCGGCCACGTGCAGGTTCTCCGATACTCGTTTTGTGTCAGGTATATTGGGTGGAAAAAACTTGCGAAATCTACCCAGGAGTTTAAAAAAAGCTAAGTATAGATAAGCGGAAGTATAGTATTTGACCGTGCAGACAATATAAGTCACATTCTGAACTGCTGTTCTTCTGTTGTCCAGACAAATTTTGTTTGTGATTCTTGGAACGGCTGTGGTCTTCACAACCGTAAAAAAATCCATCCATAAACGCAAGTTACCACGTCTAGCCAGATAGGCACCATTACAGCTACTGATTCGCCCGTGATGAATTTAGCACAACTGTATGACATCAAAGCTTGTTCTCTTGGGTTTGTTCCCTTTCTCCAGCATGCAGCTGTCTGAATTTGACCTGATTGAATATATGTTTTCTATCAGTGTGCGCATGAGTGATTAAATTAGATTGAATGTTCCATCTGGCTGATGTTATGCTGAAAAGTCTGCGGGTGGGTTGTAGTGACCAATTTATGTATCACCTCTCCGATACTGCCACAATAGTATTAGGATTCACCTGTAGCCGCTATCAATTTGTGATTAAATCCATATGGTAACTCTGACTAAAGGTGTTGTTTTGTTTGGCTCTAAAGCGTTCTTTGGCAGACCAGCCATTCAAGCTGCCACATCAGAAGAACCCAGTGAATGATCAGATAAAAGAAAATCTTGCAAAACTATGCATTTGGTAAGTTCGTTGTGGAACCTTTCGACCGGTGGGGTATGGCGGGCATTCCATGATGAAGGGATAGGGTTTCTTCCGTCTGCTGGAGTTTGGTTCCATGAATCGGGGACCGCGAACTTGTGGATTTTGTCCCAGTTGCCTGAAGGGTTCCCAAACTCGTTTGGTTTGAATAACTGCCACCCTGCGTTGGTGCAATGGAACGCCCAGCAACCGCACCAACAAGTGTGCTGGTCAGTGCATGAGGGGAAGATAGCTGATTTGCATTAGCCAACGGTAATCCAAACGGAACTGCTTGAGTGTTATTCACAGCCACTTGCGCATGACCCATGTGGACCGGACGGATCACTGGGCCAGTTGGATGAGACGTGCCGAAGTGGGCTTGAGTAGTGTGCAGATTGTTTGTGGCGACACGATAAAATGCATGATGCGTTCCGACATTTTGACCAGGCTGTTTGGAGAGTGAAAAAGTTTATTACCAGCATTGTAGAATATCTGAACCGTAAAGGAAACTGCTCACAAGGTTGCTGAAAACTCTTCGACAACCCACGACCGGTTTCGCCCTTCTTGGGGCTCATCAGGTAGGCTCAGTCCCCGAGTTTCCGTCAACCTTATGATCTACTTGAACTCAAATTGCACTGTTTTCGAGAAATACACTCATTTGCAAATCAATTCGGTTTTCATGAGAGACTCAAACTGAATCTCTCGTTTACGATATCTCCAACTGATTTGTGCTGCACACAGGCCGCCTCATGATTCAGTTGG